CAGAACCAGACAGAACCAGGCAGAACCAGGTAGAACCAGGTAGAACCAGGCAGAACCAGACAGAACCAGGCAGAACCAGGTAGAACCAGGTAGAACCAGGCAGAACCAGACAGAACCAGGCAGAACCAGGCAGAACCAGGTAAAACCAGACAGAACCAGGTAGAACCAGGCAGAACCAGGCAGAACCAGGCAGAACCAGGCAGAACCAGACAGAACCAGGCAGAACCAGGTAGAACCAGACAGAACCAGGCAGAACCAGGTAGAACCAGACAGAACCAGGTAGAACCAGGTAGAACCAGGCAGAACCAGGCAGAACCAGGCAGAACCAGGTAGAACCAGGCAGAACCAGGTAGAACCAGGCAGAACCAGGCAGAACCAGGCAGAACCAGGCAGAACCAGACAGAACCAGGTAGAACCAGACAGAACCAAGCAGAACCAGACAGAACCAGGCAGAACCAGGCAGAACCAGGTAGAACCAGGCAGAACCAGGCAGAACCAGGCAGAACCAGACAGAACCAGGTAGAACCAGACAGAACCAGACAGAACCAGGTAGAACCAGGCAGAACCAGGCAGAACCAGGCAGAACCAGGTAGAACCAGGTAGAACCAGACAGAACCAGGTAGAACCAGGCAGAACCAGACAGAACCAGGTAGAACCAGGCAGAACCAGGCAGAACCAGGCAGAACCAGGCAGAACCAGACAGAACCAGGCAGAACCAGGTAGAACCAGGTAGAACCAGGCAGAACCAGACAGAACCAGGCAGAACCAGGTAGAACCAGGTAGAACCAGGCAGAACCAGACAGAACCAGGCAGAACCAGGCAGAACCAGGTAGAACCAGGCAGAACCAGGCAGGCTGCAGAACCAGGTAGAACCAGACAGAACCAGGCAGAACCAGGTAAAACCAGACAGAACCAGGTAGAACCAGGTAGAACCAGGCAGAACCAGGCAGAACCAGGCAGAACCAGGTAGAACCAGGCAGAACCAGGTAGAACCAGGCAGAACCAGGCAGAACCAGGCAGAACCAGGTAGAACCAGGCAGAACCAGACAGAACCAGGCAGAACCAGGCAGAACCAGGCAGAACCAGGTAGAACCAGGCAGAACCAGACAGAACCAGGCAGAACCAGGTAGAACCAGGCAGAACCAGGCAGAACCAGACAGAACCAGGTAGAACCAGACAGAACCAAGCAGAACCAGACAGAACCAGGTAGAACCAGACAGAACCAGACAGAACCAGGCAGAACCAGGTAGAACCAGGCAGAACCAGGCAGAACCAGACAGAACCAGGTAGAACCAGACAGAACCAGGCAGAACCAGACAGAACCAGGTAGAACCAGACAGAACCAGGCAGAACCAGGTAGAACCAGACAGAACCAAGCAGAACCAGACAGAACCAGGCAGAACCAGGCAGAACCAGGTAGAACCAGACAGAACCAGGTAGAACCAGACAGAACCAAGCAGAACCAGACAGAACCAGGCAGAACCAGGCAGAACCAGGTAGAACCAGGCAGAACCAGGCAGAACCAGGCAGAACCAGACAGAACCAGGTAGAACCAGACAGAACCAGGTAGAACCAGACAGAACCAGGTAGAACCAGACAGAACCAGACAGAACCAGGTAGAACCAGGCAGAACCAGGCAGGCTGCAGAACCAGACAGAACCAGGCAGAACCAGGTAGAACCAGGTAGAACCAGGCAGAACCAGACAGAACCAGGTAGAACCAGACAGAACCAGGTAGAACCAGACAGAACCAGGTAGAACCAGACAGAACCAGACAGAACCAGGTAGAACCAGACAGAACCAGACAGAACCAGGTAGAACCAGGCAGAACCAGGCAGAACCAGGCAGAACCAGACAGAACCAGGTAGAACCAGGCAGAACCAGGCAGAACCAGGCAGAACCAGGCAGGCTGCAGAACCAGGTAGAACCAGGCAGAACCAGGCAGGCTGCAGAACCAGGTAGAACCAGGCAGAACCAGGCAGAACCAGGTAGAACCAGGCAGAACCAGACAGAACCAGGCAGAACCAGGTAGAACCAGGCAGAACCAGGCAGAACCAGGCAGAACCAGGCAGGCTGCAGAACCAGGTAGAACCAGGCAGAACCAGACAGAACCAGACAGAACCAGGTAGAACCAGGCAGAACCAGGCAGAACCAGGTAGAACCAGGCAGAACCAGGCAGAACCAGGCAGAACCAGACAGAACCAGGTAGAACCAGGCAGAACCAGGCAGAACCAGGCAGGCTGCAGAACCAGGTAGAACCAGGCAGAACCAGGTAGAACCAGGTAGAACCAGGCAGAACCAGGCAGAACCAGGTAGAACCAGGCAGAACCAGGCAGGCTGCAGAACCAGGCAGAACCAGGCAGAACCAGGCAGAACCAGGCAGAACCAGGCAGAACCAGACAGAACCAGACAGAACCAGGTAGAACCAGACAGAACCAGGCAGAACCAGACAGAACCAGGCAGAACCAGGCAGAACCAGGCAGAACCAGACAGAACCAGACAGAACCAGGTAGAACCAGACAGAACCAGACAGAACCAGGTAGAACCAGGACAGGAGGTCCGGTCCTGGACGGTGGGGAACATCAGCAGTTTCATTTAAACTTTTATCACATTTATTGGCTGATTTTCTGTTTTCCAGGTTCCTGCAGCTTTAAGGTGGAGAACGACTGCAGGAAGCTCTGCGTGACCTTTAGGGGTCAAAACCCTCTGGACAGGATTGTGTGCAGTCACCATGACAACAGTGTCCCAATAAACAATGATGTTGTTTTGAGACCATTTTCCAGCAATATAATAGTAATAATGCAGTAATGATTCTAATAAACATTCATCACTGGAACTGGACAACATTTTATATCTCTAGATGAAATAAAACAACAAATAAAATGAATTATGAAACTGAAAACTTTTATGTTTTTGGCAGAGAGAGAAAAACAATAAATCATGGAAATGAGCTGGTTTTAATTGATTATGTGATTAGTAGGTTTATTGCTGATTGTGACAGGTTTGGATATTAATGACATGTTGACTGAAGCTGCATTTTCACAACAATCTGAAAACGACCAAATTTTGATCGTTTCACCCGAAAGTAAATCTGATCTGATCTGCAGCCGGACTGAACTGGACCGTTTTCTACGCATCGCTTTTGTTCCGTCGTTGACGTGAGACATAATGTCTCATGTCTCATGTCTCATGTCAGGCGGTAAATGTAAACAGTGTCTGAGAACGACACTAATGAAGTGAAGAAGCCGTCTGAGTCAGTGAACGCATCACGTCAAACTCTCTACTGACCTGTTTCAAGGAGCAGCAGTTGCTCCTTGTTCCAGCACTGGGTTGGACCTGATTCTGGTTCTGGAGGTCATGAGCAGAACTCCGAGGTTCGGTTGTATAATAGAACCTTAACCTTTTTCTTTCCTGCTGATGGTCCGGTCGACCCGGTTCTGCTGGAACCAGAACATCTGCTCCACCTCCAGCTGTTCTGACCCAAACCAGACTGTTCCCCTCCTGGCCTGTGGGGGCGCTGCACCAACAACCACTGCAGGAGACGACACTAAAACCTCTGAAGACACTGAGAGCAACTTCCTGTTTCACCAGATGAAACAAGATGGAGGCGTCAGAGTTTAGTGATTTCTCTTTAGACTTTGGCTGAAGACCAGGAGCCATTTCTGCTGCTAGCGCTAGGCTAGCATGTTAGCTTAGCTTGTATTTGTCCATATGCATCAAACTGCTCCAGAATTTAGTTGAAGGAACCCAACTTCCTGTTTCCAGGTGAGTCTGGATGAATAAACGCTTCAGAGACCAGAAGCTAATCGACAAAAATCAGACATAAAAAATAATCTGAAAATTAAAGCAGAAATGTTTAAAAAAGAACAAAGGACATTTTTCACTCCTTTTTGTTTACAGTATATTTGTAAATCAAACCTTTTTATTTCTTAGGTTTCATTAACTGACGCAGTCATGAAGCACAACGCTGAAGTTTTGTGTGATAAAGGGATAGTTCACGTTTCTTTCAAAATTCAGACAAACTGTTTTCTAGCAGAATGACATCATTTCCTGTTCAGACCTCTGACCCAACAGGATGTAGAATCAAAACATTTAGTTTTTAAATGTGGATTTACGTCCCGGTTTTGTTGGTCTGGAAACCAAAAGTATCAACAAAAAATTACTTGGACTAGACCTGAAATGATGATGTGATAAATAGACATGAGGATCATCTGCAAATAGATTGATTCAAAAAACACTTTTGTTTATTTTAGACAATAAAATAAATCACTTCTTTTAGTTTTTAATTTTTCACTCTTGGATGAAAATTTCATTTTAACATTTAGTCCAATAATGAGTTCGGTCTGTGATCATGTTTGGTATCAAGCTGAAAGCGACACCAGCAGAACCGAACCGGGCCAAAAGCTGAACCCATTCCAGCTTCAGGGGTTCTGATGGATCTGATACTTTGAACCAGAACCGCTGCAGGTTTCCCGTTCAGAACCGGGTCAGCTGGAGCAACAAAACAACATCCATGTTCCCTTGCAGTTTCATTCTGCAGTGATGGGATGCTAATATGCTAATTGTTAGCTTAGCGCTTTAGCCAACGCTGAAAACGTTTAGCGCTCTTAACGTCCCCGATGAATCCAGTTTGTGGGTCAGTTGATCAAATTACAGGAGATCAATAATCTGCATAATTTATCATTTTTCTCTGAATGATAAAAATCTTCAGTTTGGGTTTTTTGTTTCCACAGATTTAATAATTCATTTCATTTATTGCTTCTGTTTATTTAGTTTGGATATTTTAAATGTTTGAAGCTTTGATTATTATTTCATGATTAATAATTAATCATGGTCAACTGGTTCCCATGGCAACAGCCCACCATGTTCCCAGTTCCCCCAGTATCAGCTGTGGTTCCCAGAAACGGGTCAGGAATGTGTGACAGCAGCAAAACGCATCCCGGTGTTTAGAAACCGGCCCACAAAATATGGAGCCGATCATCTGAGTGTTTGTGGGAGGAAATGATGATCAGCGTCTCGACGGCAGAGCAGCAGGAGATTCCCAACAATAAAACACTTGAACCTGAAACAACTGAGCCGTCCACCGCGTCCACCGCGACCACCGCGACCACCGCGTCCACCGCGTCCACCGCGTCCACCACAACCACCACGTCCACCACAACCACCACGTCCACCGCGTCCACCACAACCACAGCGTCCACCACAACCACCGCGTCCACCGCGTCCACCGCGTCCACCACAACCACCGCGTCCACCACAACCACCACGTCCACCGCGTCCACCACAACCACCGCGTCCACCACAACCACCGCGACCACCGCGTCCACCGCGACCACCGCGTCCACCGCGTCCACCACAACCACCGCGTCCACCGCGTCCACCGCGTCCACCACAACCACCACGTCCACCGCGTCCACCGCGACCACCGCGTCCACCGCGTCCACCGCGTCCACCGCGTCCACCGCGACCACCGCGTCCACCGCGTCCACCACAACCACCGCGACCACCGCGTCCACCGCGTCCACCGCGACCACCGCGTCCACCGCGTCCACCACAACCACCACGTCCACCGCGTCCACCGCGACCACCACGTCCACCGCGTCCACCGCGACCACCGCGTCCACCGCGACCACCACGTCCACCGCGTCCACCGCGTCCACCGCGACCAGTTCAGAAACAGAATGAAGAAAAAGTGTCCACTAAAAAACATCTCCAGAAACAAGAACATTTCTGAGCTGCAAAAAACCCAAGAGAAAATAAACCAAAAACATTTCCTAGAAAAACTTCCTGAGCTCAACAATTCATCAGATTGCAAGAAAAAAACTCAGAAGTTTAGAGATTCTCAGAAATTAAAAATAAAAAAATTAAGAAAATTCTAAGACATAAAAGCCAAAAATCTGTGAAAAAAGACAAATTGAGATTAAATTCAAAATGTTTTTACAGAAAATCTCAGAGATCAAAGGGCAAGAAAGCAAATCCTAAATTTTGAGATGAATCTTCTGGAAAATACATGGAATAAAGTTGAAAATTAGTAACTTTTTGAAATTTTCTGAGTTTCAAAAGTCCAAAATGTTTAGGAAAGTTTTTTTTCCTCATTTTAAATCTCCTGGGTTTTTCTCTCACATTTCTGACTTTTGGATCTCAATTCTCCAGTTTTTTACTTTTTGTAGAAAATGTATCGGGTTAATGTGAAACTTTGTGCTGTTTCCTGTTTCCAGTGACTGTCAGCCGCAGCCTGCATGTTCTCCCAGTGCATGCTGGGATTCTCAGCGGGTGCTCCAGTGAGAATCGTCTCAACCTGGAAGCCGTCGCTGCGTCCAGACGACACGCCGAACCTGAGCCTGGATCCAGCTGATGCTTGAAACTGAAGCAGCTGAAGGATCCAGGAAGTGGTTGCGTCATCAGGCGGTTGCCAAGGAAACCAAAAGTTGGAGGCCATTGAAGCGATTTGAGTGAAGGTTATTGACCAAATCGAATATTTTCCTTATTTACTTCTTCCCTGGTTTTGCAGTTTTTTCACTGAGTGTTGTTTATGAGCCAGCCATCATTTCAGATTAAAAGTGACGGACGGTTTGGCTTGAGGCTGCAGTTAGGAAGAATAAAAGTTTGATTTCTGCTGGGGTAAAGAGTTCATCTGCTACAAAATGTTATTTGTTTCTGCGTTCATCGTGTCCCGATCATTTATTTGTTCCAGACGTTTAATCCTCTGGACAGCGATTAAAAATCCAGATCCTGAGAGACAAAACTGGCTGCTGCTCCTGAGAAGAGTCCCGCTTAAACTCCGCTTCTTCACTCCAGCAAGAGCCATAAAAACTAATTTTCAAAATCATCAAATTGGCTTTATGTAATTGTTTATGAAGGACATAAAAGGCTCTAATGAAGCAGGGTCATAAATTTGTCACAGCTGCATTTGTTCGGTTGGAACAATGAGTCATTATTACTCTGCATGCCCACAAACACGACACATAGCCGCTTTAATGCGACTCAGTCAGCTGAGGCCATAAATCTGCATACCCTGCTGCCAGCGCGGCGCCCGGAGCCGCCGGGGCAGCCGCGGCCCTGCCTGGCGGCGGGGCCTGCCGGCGGGGCCTGGCGGTGGGGCCAGGTGAGGCGGGCGGGGCTCCGGGGAGGCGGGCGCCGCGCTGGCAGGGCGTACCTTCGCCAGAACCGCCTGATTCAGACCAGATGTCTGAGCGTCGACTCTGGGAAACGGAGAGATGAGAGACAACCGGAGCCACAATAAATCGCAGGAACGGCTAATGAATAAAACAACAGCGGATCAAATGTGGCGCGGCTAAAAATAATGTGATTAAGAATCGGATCCAGAGGCCATGCTGGAGACAGCTGGGCCTCCACCGGACCGCGCCCCCGCCTAACGAGCGCCTCCCATCTCGGCTTTATGGGGTTTCTGGGCACAACCCGGCCTGATGAATCAGTTGTCATCGCTTGTGATTGCCTGTTTAAAAAGTCCCAAACACTCTGCCTGTGTTTAGTCAGGTTCAGGCGAGGTCAAGCCCGACTCGGCCTCAGCGAGCGTCTGCAGCTCCTTCCCCTATTTATTAAACACGTCTCTCAGCGGAGGCCGATGGGGACCCGCGTCTCCAGACAGCCCGCCATTTATCAGGCCGTCCGCTGAAATATCAGCTTATAGCACGTCAAAGCGGTACGCAGTGGCCTTAAGAGCAATAACATCGTATGAAAATGAAAAACAGGGTTTTTAATAAATAACAAGTGCTGAAAAGCAAAGTTTATGAACTACATACAGGAACGTCTTTCAAAATGTCTGCAAAAGGCGTCGGATTCAGTTCAAGACAAACTGAATGTTTGCTTTTCACAGAGTTACTGACCCATGTTCAACATCAGGAACGCTTCCTACTAAATACCGAGCAAAGAATCCAACTCCGCTCGTTTGGCCTAATCAAAGTCCAGTTCGGTTGGTGAGGTGTGAACGCTAGTCAACCTCTGACCTCTGGTCCTACTGACCTCGGTTGGTTTCTGTCTGTTTTGAATCTGAATGAAAAGTTTCTGCATTTGTCTCAGATTGAACTGAAACCTTTCGTTGCTTGTTTGGTTCCTGCGATGCCTCAGGTTGACCTCTGTGGTTCTGTCCGCCCGTCGCTCCGCTACGCCTGTCGGATCACCCGTCTTATCTAACTACTCGCTCTTTTCCCCAGAACTCAAACTGACAGGCCGGTTCTTTCAGTTTGCCGCTGCGGCTGCAGCTGGGAGTCGGACCCCCGGATGAGCCGGACCGTCTGGACGTCACGCCTTTGAAGGGTCCTGCTGAAATAGCTGGTCGCCGTCCAAAGCGTCGCCCCGGTTCGCGAGCAAAGCGTCCGCACACGGAGCCGGGCGCCAGGGGAAATCTATCTGGGAGGCAGGTGAGACAGGGGGCCATTGTCTCCTGCCGTTACAGGTGGGACTCCTCAGGGCCCGGAGCACAGAGCCGGGCTCACACGGACCAGGGAGCCTCTCCAAGAACATTAACAGGGTCTGGCACGGAGCTGGCACGGGCCGGACTCGGAGCCAAGACTGGGAGAAATGTAACTGTGATGAAGACGGAAACGCTGTCAGGATAACCCCAAACGGCAAATTAGGAACTAATGAAACCACTTTCACACCGATTTAATTAAAAGCTTTCTATTCCGGACACGAGAAATGAATCAACCTCATAAATCTGATTTCATGTTTCTGATTTAGGTTTAAGTAGAAAAGTCCCTGTGAGAGAACAGAATGTCTCTGGTAACACTGTCAGATGTTTTCACCAGGAATGTTTTGGAAAAAATTACTCAATTCGTCTCTTTAAAACAAAATGGAGGGAAACATGACAGTCGGACCTGTCAGACATTTTCATCCATAATCTGCATCAGATGCTGCATCACACCAAACCACCTGAGACCTAAAAGTTGCTTTCAAGAGATTAATAATTACTTTCTGGTTCCTCGTCAGAACTTTTCTAAAACATGACAGATCAACTTTCTGGAGCTTGTTTGTTAAAATCCAGAGTTTTCTTTGCAGTTACTGTCCCATAACTTACAACATGAGAAACGTATCGCTCCCTTTTTGATCCTCTGAACTGCGTTACCTTTCTGGGATTAATCTGCATTTACTGCTGAACTACAGACTGTCATGAATTCTTAACAGTATCCATGTTACAGATTAATTCACGGCAATAAATACATGAAAATGATGTTAAACACGAAATGACTATTATTAAAATTCCTTGAAGACATGAGTTGAAGTTGCATTGAAGACAGACTCAGAGGAGCAGCAGAATCTGGTCAGGATGAGGGATGAAGGTCAAAAGGTTGGCGTTTACTCTGAATACAGATGTTTTAAAACAGCAATTAGGAAGAGGTTCCTGCAGCTTCCAGCTCAGAGCCGAGGTAACAGCCTGACCTCTAATCATCCTCAATTTCTTCCAGGCCCCGGCTCTGTGATGGTCGTCTCTGCAGAACGCCTGTTTATTTTTCATGGCACTTCCTGTTGGACTGAATGAGCGTCAGGAGGAGAGAGTCTGTAGGGAGCGATGTGCTCAGCCGCTGCACGCGCTCCCACACCAGAAAGCAATCTTTTACTCAAAACTAATTACAACTTTATAAACTAAAGCTTTGCCCGTATAAGGAGCTTCCTGTTAAAGAGCAACTCCAGCTGATTGTTCCAGAAACGAGTTTCAGTTTGATGTGAAGGATTTAGACCAAACGTCTCATACAGTTTGTTTGCTTCAACCCATGAAGGAAACCATCACCGTTCTGTGATTAAAGTATAAATATGTCCATTTTTAGCCATAAATCAACCGAAAGCAGCAAAGTCTTTTGGCTCTCAGATGTTAATTGTCACAACCTTAAAACGGAGGAAATTAATTTATAAGTTAAGATGTCTTTCAGGTTTGGACCTTTTAGATCTTGTTTGGTTTTATCTACACATTAATCTGCATCATGTAGATCTGAACAAAGTTCAGTGGAATTTGCATTGTTCCAGAAGTTACTGTGATAAATCTTGTTTTGACACCATTTCCAGTAATGTAATATTAAAAAATCATATTCATAATGCTGCAGCTGGAAAACATTTTAAATATCCAAAATAAATAAACAAAACAACTGAAACAACAAATAAGATGAATCATGAAATCTCTTGAAACAAAATTGTTCTTAAAAAGTGACAAAACACCAGACTGAAGATGTTTATCGTCCAGATAAAAATCGTCTTGTTTCAGTGAATTTTGCATTCTGTTTTTATGACGTTTAGCAAACCTTCTACTGTGTTTTGTTTAATGAGACAACGTTCATATTTTGTCAAAACTATCCTGTTATAACAAGAAACTTTGTGATTGAAATAAGTTATGCATCTCACTTTCTCAATGAGAATTTGTTTCTAATGATTTTCTGGTTTTAATTATTATTTTTTTTAATTTAATTATTATATCTACATAAAACCAGAAACTTTCTTGTTGTAACACGACTCTGCTTGTGAATTTATTTCCAATGTTGGCAGTTAAGTGCTTCCGTACACTGGAGGTTAAAAAGTGTTTTCTGACAGCAGCAGATAAATCAGCGACTTTACTGTAAATGATATCATAAAGTATCGTGTAAATCATAAACGATGAACTTCTTGTGCTGCAGGTTGAAATCAGAGTCACAGAGGTGAAAACTGCTCTTCTCCTTTCAGATCCTCCCATTCCTCCACTTTCCTGACCTTTAACCCCCATCCGCCTTCACAGGTCATCTCAGTAATGAGCCATGTGGCTCTCACTAATCAGGACCCCAAGGCCGTCCCATCCTCTGCCCGAGCGACGCGGCGGCGGCAGCTGAGCCATCTGGACTCCATGCCTGTTCTGTCTCCACTCCACTGGCGATTTATGCCCTCCTGAGGTGTTTTGCCTTTTAACTTGCTCTAATTGCCCCCCAGATGCAGCAAAGATGTGGAGGCCGGTTTTTATTGGTTGCCAAACAGAGGTCATTGTTTTGGTGTCGCTTTGTCTCCCCGGCGCCGCTGACGTAAAGACAAACTTTGTTCCAGAAGCCGAAAAGCCTGCAGACGACTGGAGTAGAAGAATGTGATGAAGTGATAAAGATGGCCGCCGTTGGAAAGATGGCGAGGGTTTATAGAGATAACTTCTACTGAGACAACTCAGAATCCATCCATCCATCCATCTCTCTGTCCCTCCCATCTGGACAGTAGATGGAAATGTTACCAAATCCAGAGCCATTCTGAGACACCAGCTCTGCTTCTCCACTTTTCAGGACAATAGAACTAATTTCATTCAAGTTTCTCAGAAAGTGGTTCTTAGGTTAACCTTTGACCCCTCCAACCTCAGGCACTTCAGACATCTGAAAAGGAACCAACAAATGATCTGTGAACAAACCCACTGTTATTTTTAATTTATGGCCAAATTAACCAAACTTTGTTTATTGCTATGATGGAAACTCTTTAGGTTAATTAATTTTTTTATTTTTTGCTCTATATTTAACATAGATAATAAATATAATCATAGAAATTGAAATTGAAGAAATTAGTTTACAAATGCAAAGATGAAAAAGCCACATTCATTTGTTTGCAAATTAATGTGGCCAAGAGCAAAATGATAAGAATTATGTTGCCAAAAGTTACAAAATTCCATTAACATGCATATATTTCTAGGAAACTGAATCAAACTTCTAAATATTTATTATATCTAGATAGGAAAAAGAATAGATGAAAAAAAGAGCATGAAATAAAACAATAAAAATAAATACTTAAGTTCTGATGAAGCTATTATCTGTCTGTAGTCCTGATATTGAACTGCTGTGGTCACCCGAATTAAAACTTTGTCTGGAGGCTCCACTGCTTGTTCACACAACAAAGATAAATGAGGAAACAACAGCAGAGACAATAAAAACAGGCCTGTTCTTTACTTGGATCCAATCCTTTCATTTTTATTCAGGCGATATTTGGGGCGACCATCTCGCCGGTCTTCTTGCGGTCCTTCGCGTGGCAGTGGTAAACAAATATGGCGGAAGTGCTGAGCGCTTCTTTCGGTGTTTCTCTGAGGTTTCCAGTGATTTTCTCTCTTTAAACCCCAAAGCGTTTTGAGCTGGATGTTTCCGGGGGCTGGTCTCGTTGCGAGGCGGTAGAATGAGCGGCTGGGCGGGTTTTTCCGAAGAGGAGCTGCGGAGAATCCAGCAGAAAGGTAAAATAAAACGACCCAGTCCGAGGCTTGGACCGGCTGTAACCCTAACTGAGCCGGTTGCACTTCCACAGACTCCGCTGGACCTCCTGCTGCTCCCCGCGGCAGGAGGCCGCCGACATCCAGCCGGAGCCGGCAACAGATGCAGCGGGAGAGAGCGCTTCAGTTAGCCGGCTCACAGACCCTCCTGCCGGGGCAACAGCTCAGCAAACCACCGCTGACGATGGAAGGTCAGCCTCCGGACCGGACAGAAGCTCCTGCTGCCGGGCAGGAGAAGCAGCAGAAAGCCGCTGACATGAAGCAGAATCACCGCCCGAAAGCAGAGGAGAAGGAGGAGGAGATGCCTGTGGTGAAAGAGCTGGAGAAGCAGGAGGTGGAGATGTGAGTTTGGCCTCAAATTTCACATCAAGTTATGATTTATTTTCATCATAATAAATTAGCTCCAACAGAAAAGACCCAGCGGGTCAAAGAAATAACAGGATCCACAAAATCTAATGTTTTAAAAACAAATTGAGGGAGGAAATGTTTCTTTTCGTTTAATTGGGCTGATGACATCACAAGAGGCACAGGAGTGGAGCCAATCAGATTTTATATTGATTTACAGTAGCCTGGACCAATGGGCCTCCTCGTTAAAGGGGACATGGTGACACGTTTGTAGAATAAGTCCTGATGTAGCAAACTGTCCCGTCTACTGGTGGGTCTGTGAGAGGCACCAAGAAAATTCATGATCCAAATCTCTCTGGTTTATGCTAATTAGCAACTTCTACTTCCTGTTTGCAGCCATGTGTAGCATCAACATTTGACTGTATTATGCTGTGTGTAATCTGGCTGATTAACCAAACCAGTAGATGGAAACGCACCGCATCCATAATTTAGTTTTAGCTTTATTTCTAAAGTTTCTGTCAAATTCACATCATAATAGATGGAAAGACGGCTGCTGCGGTTTGGATCATCTTCAGAGCAGAACCAGTTAAGACTGCAGGGAGCAATCTTCCCTTCATCCAGAACTTGTAAAGGTCAAGGGTCAGGAAATGGGTAGCTAAATTTCTGCAGACTCCCCACATGCTGGACATGAACTGTCACAAATGTTACCTTTGTGAAAGTTCAAAGACACATTTCTTCCCCCAGAATAATTTAATGTTTTTATTTTGAAAATTCCCTTTTTGTGAAATTGTTGTTTTATTGCGACTGCAGGAGAGAAAAGACGCGTCTGGAGCAGCTGCAGCAGGAGCAGAAAGTTATCGAGGAGAGGAACAAGCTGACCAAAGCACTTCTGGCTAAAACGATCGCTGAGAAGTAAGCAGTGCCGGGTTCTGGCTGTTGATCAGGTCAGATGGGGGCGGAGCCAGAACCCAGCGCAGTAAACGTCTGCTGTGTTCAGGTCCAAACAGACCCAAGCCGAGGCGGTGAAGCTGAGGCGGATCCAGAAGGAGTTGCAGGCGCTCGACGACATGGTGTCCAACGACATCGGCATCCTGCGGGGCCGGATAGAGCAGGCCAGCTGGGACTACAGCGCCGCCAGGTGGGAAGAACTCCAGGCTTCCTGTGCCAAACTGCAGAAGGACAAATTTAAAGCACCAGTATCGTGTAAAATCAACTTCTTCTTTTTTTTCCATCAAGTTATAATGTTATTCCATCATCAACACAAAACTGAGGAATCCTTTAATCTCCGTGGCAACCATTCGGCTGTGCAAAATGTCAGGGTGACCTAGATATCAGGGTGAGCTATATATCCAAAGCTCCTTCAGACTAGCCAGCAGCAATTAGCAAACAGCTGCTGGGCTCGTTATAGGAGCTGCTGCTCAAAGCAACGCCGGTAAAAATGTCAAAGGGTTAATAGAGGAGCCATGTTGGGATGACTTCTTAGAGGTGGAGCTTCAGAAAGAGCAGGAGCTTCTTAAAGAGACAGAGGCCCAATTTCAAGGCGTTGAATTATCAAGTCAAATTTCTTTTGACTTGACCTGGTTTGTCATTGAAATGTTTCCAACAAGCTTGTGCTTTTTTGCTCTTCACAATTCAAACTGTATTTCTGCGGTCAGAGCTCGATGTCCAGGACAGTTCTGCTCTCTGATTGGAGGAAAACGACGTTTTCCTCACTTCACAGCTTCATAAAACTGAAGGAATCTGAAACTCGTCTGATCAGATATTTAACAATAAGCACAACCAATTAAATTCAACCGACTTTTAGATGAACTGCAGGAAGAATTTGGTCCACAAGTTAGAATTTTAATTGATCCAAAGAAAGTCGTAATAATGTCAAAATAAAGTCCTGATAATGTGAGAGCAGCGTTGTAATAATAAAATAGTAATTTTATTACTAAACCTCATGGGAAAATAATTTCAAGTCAAAGTGAGGAATGTTGAGTTAAACTTCATGTTTTAAAACATCATAACCAAATTATTATCAGACGGACCGAGCCGCGCAGATCTCAACTCTACTGGAGCTTTTTTCTCATTAAAACAATTTTATTCATCATTAAAAACAAATCTCTGCCTCCCAGGAAGCGTTATGAGAAGGCCGAGGCCGAGTATGTGGCGGCCAAGCTGGACCTGCACAGGAAGACGGAGGTGAAGGAGCAGCTGACCGAGCATCTGTACGCCATCATCCAGCAGAACGAGCTGCGGAAAGCCTGCAAGCTGCAGCAGCTGATGCAGGAGCTGCAGCTGCAGGAGGAGCTGCAGCAGCAGGAGCTGCAGCAGCAGGAGCTGCAGCAGCAGGAGCTGCAGCAGCAGGAGCAGAGCAGAGCCGACGCCACAGAAGCTCAGAGGGACGGCAGCGGTGAGGCGGCAGCGCCATCAGCCCTCGGCGGCGCTGAGCTGCTCCAGCAGGAGGCGCTGGACCAACCGAACACAGAACCAGACTGTAAACGGTCAGAAAACTGTGATGAGGCTCGACCTTTGACCTCCTGACGCTCAGAGCAGAGGATCATCTTCCTCATGTGGCTCCATCACCAGAAGCGGGTTTTATTCTGTTGACCTCTGCTACAGCGCCCCCTTCAGGCAGGGCAGGTTCACCTGGAGGACTGCAGGTGTTTCAGGAAGTTTAAAGGAAACTTCTGGATATTTTCTGTTTGGAGTCACTTTATGTTCACTGTAAAAACTGACTATCTGTTTGAGTTTACCTGCAATAAAATGAAACTAACTAGAAGCTTTTCAGCTTCCAATGTAAGTTTAGGTTGATAAACTTACATTAATGTTGGTGAAACTATTTTAGTTCCACTGATGGATTATTTCACTTATTGATGGGAAAAAGCCTCGCTATAAATGAAATGATCAGCCATTGGAACTAGAACTTCTTATTGATATTAAGGAATTATTGATTCATAATCAGCTGTTTGCAGATATTTGTTCTAGAAACTGGAACAAACTAGTTGTGTTTTTACAGTGCAGATTTAATGGAACATCCAGTTTGTTCCAAACTCTTAAAAATTTGACAGATTTTTTATAAATATAATAAAACACTACAATAAATATCCAGTTTTAGTCTAAACTCTTTATTTAATTGTATTTCATTTCTTGCAGTTTTATTCAGTTTTTTTCTGGTAGAACTTTCAGCAGATTCTTTGTTTTACAGTAAAATATGATCAAATCATTTCCGGGTTGCAGGTCAGGCTTGTGGACGCTCAGGTAAATGGGATGGTTGCCATGGCGACACGTGGTTCTGGTTCTGTCGGCTGAAGACACGACATGAAAATCATTTCCTTCAATAAACGGTTGTAACACTGACTGTGTGTTGGTTTTTCGGTCCAGTTCGGTTTGCTTCGGTCCGGTTCGGTCCAGTTCGGTTTGGTTCGGTCCTGTCCGGGTCCAGCCGTTAAACCTCAGAAGGTTTACAGCTGCGGTCACATCTGGACTCTGCTGCAGTAAAACGGGTTTAATTGGCCGCCGCAGAGGTCAGCGTCTGACGTCTGAAGCGTCTGACGTCTGAAGCGTCTGACGTCTGAAGCGTCTGACGTCTGAAGCGTCTGACGTCTGAAGCGTCTGACGTCTGAAGCGTCTGACGTCTGAAGCGGGTTTCACCTGCAGGCCTCCGGCTCGGTTCTGCTGCGGTTCTGCTCAAATAAACCCACAGATTTATTTCATCAATTAAAAAAAAGCATCAAATCATTTTTAATAGCTGCTGATTCTGGGTCTGATTCATATTAGAGACGGGATTTGACTTCTTGATAATATTAATAATATTGATTAGAATCATTTAAATCGCATTTAGGATTTTTTTTCTCCCCTCGGAACCTTTGAACTGTCGCGTTTCCTGTACGCCCGAATTTCTCACGGACCAACAAATGCTGATAGATGACAAAACGCTTTTTAAAGGTTTGTTTAAATGACACATAAATGGCCATAAATGAAAACATAACCATTCATTGATGTCTAATTGGAAATAAATATTCCTGAATCAGAAAAATGTGTGAATGTGAAATTTGGCTTCAATGATTAATAAATTAAAACCTTCAGATTAATTTTGCCAAACATGATTTAAAGTGAATAATTTCTGAAAGGACAGAAAAAACTTTATGTTCAATTTTTATTCAACGGTTCACTAGAAAAAACAGTTTGAATTGAAAATGTTGCTTATTTTGGTGGTTTATGGTTTACAATTAAAATGTGATGAATTAATAATTTAATTAGGATTAAACATTTTGATAGAAATATTTTATATTCAAAACAAATTTCAGGACAAAATTCAATTCAATTCAAAGGTGACCTCTGACCCTTTCCGACCCTTTCCGAGCTTTAATGAATATAAAAACACAAAAGAAATGCTCCCATCACCCAAGAAAACAAAATAAAACAAAAAAACCCACCAAACCCACCCTTTCCGAGCTTCTATACATTTATGTATAGAAATACATAAATGTTTAAATCATTTAAAAAATAATAAATCAGAAAAAAACAGCCAGAAAAAAACCCAAAACATTTTAATAAACTTCTGAAAGTGACCAGAACCAGCAGAGCGGGTCGGATCCCTTCTGGTTCTGCCAAACAGAAATATTCACACCTGCAGCTTCCGGCCCGCACACCTGCAGCTTCCGGCCCGCACACCTGCAGCTTCCGGCCCGCACACCTGCAGCTTCCGGCCCGCACACCTGAGTGTTTCTGACCGCAGCTTCACATGACAGGAAACCCAGATTTACGTTTTTGCCACTAATAACTCAGATTAATATTGTCCTCATCCGGATCATAATCATATTTATTATTCTCTCTGATTTGTCTCTAAAATCTTCAACAAACTTTAAACTCCAGAATCGATCTTTGAATTTAATCTGAAAATTTTAAACACTCAATTTTCCACGGAGAGGAAAAGTTATGAAAATGTTTCAGATTAAGAGAGAGCTGTGATAATGAGGCCGCATGTCGCTCTAATCAGCTGCTGATCGCTTCCAGAACCAGAACCAGAACCACCAGCGGCCCATAAATGTTCAGAGCGACCCAAACACTCCGCACCAGAACCGCCTGCAGCGCAGAAACAGAAATTAGCTGATTGGATGATTGGTGTAAATCCGGAAGCTGGCTCCCCGCAGAGAGCCGCGGCTGATCTGGAGTCGGCTCGGTTCGGTTCGGTTCGGTTCGAGATCAACTCCGGAATCAGACTCTGCGTGCGGGTTTCTGAGGATTCCGGCAGCGATCAGGCTGGTTTACGGGTCGGAACCGGGTCCGGTCGCTGCTGGGCCCGGTGGATCGGAACCGGGTCGGAGCTTTGATGTAACCGTAAGAACTGAGACAAAGCGGGAAGAAACAGAAACAAGCATGAAGGTCCAAACGGAACCAACCTGAAACCAGACGAATTAAATTCATTATAAAAACGATGAAAATGTAAATATAATGAAAACATTTCTGAATCTTTAGATTTCCGTGATTCTGCCAGAACTTTTCCTGGAAAACGAACCGAACCCGAATCTGTTTCAGTTCAATAAACTTCATTAAATACAGAAAATATTTACAGAGAAATATCAATAATCCTGATTTTATTGATCAGAACTGACTGAATTTTTGGTCATTTTTTGCAGGTTTTGTGTCAGTAAAGTTTGTTCGGTTTCATCACTTGATGATTTTTTTCTATTTTATTGTTTTGAAGGAAAAATGTTGAAAACAATGAAAATGAGATGAAGTGAAACATTTCATGAAATGATGCCGCTTTGCTTCATCATCCTCTTCCTCTCAGGTGAGTCGCTGCTCGTTAGGCCCCGCCCCCTTCACGCCGCCATGACGCTGATCGATTAACTGACAGGAAACATCCGGGGATTCAATCCGGTCACATTTTCAGGTTTTATAGTAAAAAGCGAGAAACTAAACCTGCACAAACATTTGATCTGCAGTGAAGCTTCACGTGATTATTATTGATTATTGCATCATTTCATTGCTTTCTATTTTCTGAGCGGATCTGATTTTTCCTGCTCCAGATGTTTGCAGGGAATCAGGCCGAGTTCTCCTGCAGGAGACCCGGGGAGGCCGCTGCTCCCGCCTCTCTCTGTTTTTACTCTCGAGCTGGCACCAGAACCGACTCGTAGGCAGGAAAAGAGAATCTGGGGGGAAAACTAATGATGAAAAAGTCTCCTCCATCGCTGCGCCTTCATTAAATACATGGAAAGAACGAGAGCAGAACATCTGGATCCAATCTGCGCCTCTTTGATGGCATCAAGTGTTTTTTTCCCAGATCTGGGGGGGGACATGGCAGCTCAGAGCCCCCCCCTCCCCCTCACACACACACACACACACACACACACACACACACACACACACACACACACACACACACACACACACACACACACCGGGGAGGATCAACGTGCAGCTGCAGTTTAATATTCAGAGAAGCTGCAGAAACTCGAAGCTCAACCGGAGAAAGTTTCAGTGAAGCAGCGAAACCGAACCGAACCGGGTGGAGTTCCCAAGAATTACACTGTAAAACATCACAGCTGCTTCTGGTTGCGTCTGCTGGCTTCTTCTCTCTGAGTCAGAATCTTTCTGCTTCTTTGGAGCTGAAACGTCAACAGAGTTCAACTTTAATTGATTTAATTTAGTACAAGAAGAAAATATGGCTTGAATCATTTTAATCATCTTAATTTAAATGAGTTCTTTTAAAGAAATGTGTGATTGTTCAACTAGATGTTTTGTTGTATAATGTGAAATAATGTGGCTTAAATTAGAAAATAAAATTAAAACAACTCACTACTGAATGTTAACGAGTCACAACAACTGTAGAAAACTGGTTTTGTTAGAACAACTAGATGAAATTAAAATTCTCAATTTAAACAATTTCTAGTTTATTTTTGTTTCATTTTACAGTTAAATCACCTTTAAGTGTTTTACAGTGTAAGAGTAGAAATACTGCAGCATACTTTTAAAAGTATCCAGGAAGAAATTACTCAAGTAAGAATAAATAAGTATGTGGTAAAAAAAAAAAAAAAGTGCTTTATTAATATTTAAAAATCACATCATCAGATGGAACAAAATATAAAAATGAAATTTCAGTATTTTAAGGACCAATTTAAAACCAGCAAAATAAACATTTTTCTTAATCAGTTTAATTTAATAAAAAACTTTAACAAACTGCAGGTGAGTTTTGTTAAAACATTTTTCATTCTGTAGGTGAAATCTGCAGCAAAAATATTGATAATAAAATGAGAAAATACAGAGAAATAAAAATACTCCTAAAAGTGAATTTTATAAAGTTACTCAACTAAACGTAAGTAGTTACTGGAGTTTCTCCACCTGAACAGAGAAAACTGTCTCTGATTGGCTGCAGAACACCTGAGAGTCTCACCTGAGAACGAATCCTGGACTCAGGAGCCTGAAATGTGGATGAATTTAAACCCAGAGGCCGGACCCACAACTGGAACAAGTTCTGATGATCAGATCGGATCCGATCGGATCGGATCGGATCGGATCGGCGTTACAGTGAGACAGAAACCATGAGGACAGAAGAAGAAAAGTTTATAAAATAACTGTAATCCTCTGCAGCAGCAGCAGCAGCAGTGATGGGAAGCGCTAACTAAAATGTTAGCGATGTGCTAATAGTTCATGTGATGAACAATCTAAGTTCCTTATTTAGAGGAAGCTGATGCTAAAACACTTTAGCAGAAGATAAACGTCAAACACATTTTGATCTGTGCTGCTTTTGCTACGTTGTTCTTTAACTCTGTTTTAATTTTATAGCCAAAACTTCATCATGTCAAATTTTATAAAGCTGAAACTTTACAAACAGCAAACAAAATTAAAGCTATAGATGCTAAATGTGCTGCATGTTTTCAAGAGAAGCAGGAATGCTAATGACACATTAGCTCTGCTAGCATGTTAATGGAGCTGTTCCCACTAATGACAAACAGAAACAGATTTTAATTAGGAAAGTTTTTCAGAAACTGTCAGGATGGATCAAAATCTATAATCTCAGTTTGACGTTTTGTCTGAATTTTATCTGAACATGAGAAACATTGATGGAACTCGCAGATTCCTCAACTTTCACTTTGTTTCTGCTGCTCTGGCGTTCCACAGGGTCGGATTATTGGTCCTCCAGTTTTTCTCTAACATTAAAAAATCATATTTATTCTCTCATTCCTGAAATGTCAATAAAACAATCTTCTTTTTGAATCTTCTTTTTGGTTCTGAAAGTGATTTTAGGTTCTCAGTGATTATTGATTTATTGATTTTTGGAGACTTCCTGGTTTATTATCATTGTTGTTATTGATTCTTTGTAATATTTTGGGAACTTTTAGTTTTAGGTTTGA